ATCTATCTATCTATCTATCTATCTATCTATCTATCTATCATCTATCTGACAGTATATATATTCTGTCATAGAGCAAAAGATCTGTTGGTGGTTCTTTAAATATTTTCAGTTCATTTTGCTTCCGAAACAGCCACAAACTCATCAGCTTCAAACCACACATGTGTGTTCCCTTACAGAGGTCACAAATCTGAACTGAGTCTCATGGACTTAACGTCAAGCTGTGGGCAGAGATGCATTCCTCCCATCTCCTCGCCAGCTTCTAATCTAGAGGCACTTGTGCTCCTTGGCTGCTTGAAGTTCAAAGCCAGCACTGTAGCATCCTCTCTCTCCAACTTTGCCTTCCATTGACGTCATCACCCCTGCCCCCGTCTCTCTTATAAGGACTTTGTGGTTATGTCAGGCTGGGCCTGCTAACCCAGGGTACATCTCCATCAGAAGACCTACAACTTAATCACATTTGCAAGGTGTCTTTTTAAACATTAAAAAAATTTTTTGTATGTATGAGTGTTCTCCCTGCATGTATGTAAGGACACCTGTGCATGCAATGCCCACAGAGCCTAGAAGAGGGTGTCAGATTCCCTGGAACTAGAGTTAAGGATGGTTGTTAGCTGCCATGTAGGTGCTGGGAACTGAACCCAGGTCCTCTGCAAGAGCAGCCAGTGCTCTTAGCTGTTGAACTCTCTCTCCAGCCTCTGCAAGGTGTCTTTTATCAGGTATGGTGACATGTTCACTGGTTCCAAGGGTCAGGATGAGGACATCCTTGGAGACCACTGTGGACTGTGAGAGCCTCCTGTGGACTGTGAGAGCGTGCCACCCAAGTGGAAAAGTTCTGAGGGAGTGGTACCCACGGATGCTATGTCCAACAGCCCAGTGTCCCAGTTCCTGTTCATGGTCTCCACTTTAGCCTCCTGCCTCTCTACTCAGCTTTGTCATCAGGGAGGATCTCTGTCCCTCAGATGTCCAGATCCAGTTTCCTCTGTTACTTCAGTGCCTGTAAGCACTTCTGTCCACAAGACTCCAGCAAGAGTTGTGCTAATTTTGGCCCAGACTTCGCGTTTCCCCAGGCCCCAGGAAACTACCTCATCCAAAGGTCAAAGCCCTCTACCCTCTCAGGCTTCTGTTCGGAGAGTCTAGTGCCATAGAGGAGAGGCAGAGGAGGGGCGGAGTCTGCAGAGCTGTCACTCCCTCATCTGGGTTTGGTCAGCTCTCCAGGGATGGTCCAGTCCTGACTCCATCTAGCAGCATCTACTGAAGACAGGTTCCCTCCGCCCAGTACTTTTCCTGGAGTTGGTGCCTCTCTCTTTAAAATGGTCTCACTTGCAGCCAAGTTGCAAGATTTTTATAAAACATGGAATACTTTGAAGAAGTGTCATAATTCTTTCAGATGTTTTGTTGTTTGGAGGCAGGGTGTCCCACATCCTAGTTGGCTCACTATGTAGCCCAGGCTGGCCTTGAACTCACTGCAACCCTCTTTTGCCTCAGTCTTCCAAATACTGGGGATAACAGGGGTGAGTCCCCATGCCCAGCTCAGGCTGGGTAAACAGTCCTGTGTGTGTGTGCGCACGCGTGTGTGCATGTGTGTAGGTGTGTGCTTGCATGTGTGGAGGTCAGAGGTCAAAGTCAGGTGTCTTCCTCCGTCATTCTAGACTAACTGTCCAGTGAGTTCCAGTGACCCTCCTGTCTCCCATTCCCCGATGCTGGGATTATAGACGTGCACCGCCATGACTGGTGTTTTATAAGGGGATTTGAACCCAGATCCGCTTGCTTGCTCAAAAAGCACTGCACAGACTAAGTCATCTCTCTAGGCGCTCTCCTGTTTGGTTTTAGATGATCAAGAGCCATCTGTCTTTCTAGACTGCAGCTCTACCTCTGTTATCTAGTGCTTGCTGGCGGTCAGTGCGAGGGTTCTCAGGCTTGGTGCTCTTGATGTGTGGGGCTGGGGAGTTCGAGGACATTCAGCCCTTTGCCTGGCCTCTTGTCCACCCATGTCACTAGCAGTACCTTCTCCATCATAATATTGAAAAACATATCTAGACAGCACCAGCTGTCCCTTAGGGGGCAACTTGGCTAAAACAAAGAAAAGAACTGGGCCGAATAGAATCTATTAAATTAGTCTCTAGCCCTTTGTTTTCAAATTGGAGTCTCCAATCCCTGTTTTAAGTCCATTTGGACTATCATGTAAATGATTCCACCTCCCAGGGCGGCTGAGATGCTTCCACGAGGTAATCTATATAATTTATGTAAAGCTCTTTGCCTGCCTGTGTGTGGCACAAAGAAATCCCTTGAGGGTCAACTATTATTGTCTGTAAAGTTGTATGCTTGAAAGAACCACAGCTCCTCTGCAAAGTGTGCCTGGGGTCCCTGGCTGGCAGAGGACAGTGCGTGCTTCAGCGATTTGAGGGCTGTAAGTACCCACACTCATCTCACAACAGAAAGGAACAAGATATCAACACACTCTAGGAAATTCTGGAAAAGGAGAGGTGATCATCAGGGGAAGCAGATTAGGGAGGGCCTGGATTCCGCAGAGGGATTAGCAGCAAAGAAGCCATCTTGGTTATGGTGTGGCTGTGCAGTCCAGCACGGCTGCTCAAGTTCACGTAAACTGGGTGGATTTTGTTTATGCAAATAATAGTTAATGAGAGTTAAATAAAAGATGTGGTCACTGTCTTTGGCTGTCTCAGTTGTCTCTTTATCCTCTCTTTTGTTGTTGTTGTTGTTTTGAGACGGTCTCCCTGTAGCCCCGGCTGGCCTGGACCTCACTACGTAGACCAGGCTGGCCTCAATCTTACAGGGACCTGTCTCCCTCTGCCTCTAGAGCGCTGCAATTAAAGGCGAGCACCACCACACCTGGTTTAAACTTACTCTTTTTTTTTTATTAAACAGATTTTAATTTCCATTTATCTGTATGAATATTTTGCCTTTGTGTATGTGAGTGCACCCATGTTGTGCAAAGCCCACGGAGGTCACAAGAGGGTGTTGGATCCCCTGGAACTGGAGTTAGAAGCCATGTAGGTACTGGGAATCAAACCCATGTCCTATGCAAGAGCAGCTGGTGCTCTTAACCACTGAGGCATCTCTTTGGCCCAAAATTATTTTTTTAAAAAAAGGTTTATTTTATGTATGTCCATGTGCATGTGTGTGTCCATATGCCCACAGGTGCCAGAAGGCTGTAGCCAATCCCTTGGACCCGGAGTTACATGCATTTGTGAGCCACATGATATGGGGGCTGGAATCTGAATTCTGAGGCTCTGATAGAGCAGAAAGTACTGTTAACCAGTGCGCCATCTCTCCAGCCCTCTTTAAACTTATTCATGTGTGCGTGTGTGCGTGCATGTGTGTAGACCAGAAGTCAATCTCAGGTGCTCCTCATATACCATTCAGCTTTCTTTTTGAGACTGGGTCTCTCATGCCCTAGGACTTGCTGTGTAGTCTACACTGGCTGGCCACAAGCCCCAAGATTCCTCCTGCATCTGCACCAGGGCTGGGATTTGCAACTGTGTTCCAGCCACTATGCCCAGCTTTTTTATGTGGGTTCTGGGGAATCAAATTCATATCCTCATGCTTGCGAAGGAAGCACTTTACCTCCTGAGCCATCTCCCTTGTCCACTCTGTAAGCTTCTTTGCTGTGATGGAGGCTGTTCTTAAGGCCCCCCGCCCTCCATCCCCACAACACAGGGCCATTTAATTTTGGAACTCGTTAAGATTGCTTACCTAATCTTTATTACATATTCTTGCCATTTCTGATTAATTAAGCCTAAAGCCATGGTCAAGAAGGTTTCTGAGTAAGTCTCTTCCTTTATGTCTCATTCGGAGATTTGCCTGTGTCAAACCACAGCTGTGCTTGAAAAAAAAACCCAGCAGTTTTCTTTGTAGGGGGGGCATCCAGGGAGGAGCCGTGCATCCCTTCAATGCCATCAGTGCATAACTCACACAGCAAAATTGACAGTAATGATAATTTCATTTACATATTTTATTATTCTCAATGCTATCAGTTTTATTTTCCTTCTAGAAAAGATGTCAGGGAAGGATGTGCAAGGCCTTCTGTTCAGTTCTCAGTCTCAGGAAAGCTATCCAGAGCACCGTAATAAATGCTAATGTTTAATATCTGTTTCCATAAAGGAGGCGGTCTGACGGCCAGTGCGCTGCCCCCATGACTTGCCTTGGGGACCTTTGTGAGCATCAGTTTTTCTCATCTATAAAGCAGAATAAAATCATCGGGCCAGCAAAGGGCACATGAAAAGAGCCGTTAAGACAGGGACGTTTGGTTAATGCTGGGCCATGTGGATGTGGATATTGCTTAAAAGGAGGACTCGAGTTTTCTACCCATGTTGTCTGGTATGATCTGCCCCTCCCCCAGCTGCTGAAGAGTGACTCACAGTGCTCCAAAGCAGGTGTGGGCAGCCTTTTTCTGTAAAGGGACAGCTAGTAAATTTTCAGCTCTGTAGGCTGTACAGTTACTGTCACAAGCATTCAACTTTGCTTTTGTAACAGAATGCACCTACAGTTTGTCAATAAGTGGATGGGGATGTGTTTCAATAAAGCTTTATTTATAAACATGGGCAGTGGGCCAGATTTGGCTCATGCGCAATGAATGCTTTAAAACAGTTTTTGTTACATTCACTTGTGTGTGTGTGTGTGTGTGTGTGTGTGTGTGTGTGTGTGTGTGTACAAAGGCCAGAGGACCACTGTTGAGAGTTCTTTTCTTCCACCACGTGGGACTCAAGTTATCAGGCTTGGTGGCAAGCACCTTTACCTGCTGAGCCATCTCACGGGCTCCCACAGTCTGTGCTTTAAAGGAACATAGGACAGATTCTGATAGCTGACTTCCACTTCTTTCAAAAAAGACAAAACTTTGCTCAAGGTTTTATGGCGGCATTGGGAAGCCAGTGTCAGTAGTTCTAGGACGTATCCCCAACTCCAAGCCCTGCCAAATGTAGTGTCTTGAACTCTTGCTACACGGTTTCTGTTCTCTGTGACATTAGATTTAACTTCATATCTTCTCCATGGTTTAATTCTGTAAACTTCACAAAGACCTTTGAGGACTGTTGTTGCCAGAGAAACCTTCCTTGTGGCTGTTTGTTATGGCATCGCACCCATCTCCCACCTGGATTTTGCCTTCCTAATATGAGCACTGTAAACACCTTCACATTCGTTTTAATTAATTAATTTTTTTGGTCTTTTTGAGACAGGGTCTCCCTGTAGCCCCAGCTGTCCTGGATTCACTATGGAGACCAGGCTGGCCTCGAACTCACAGAGATCCACCTACCTCTGCCTCCCGAGTGCTGGGATTAAAGGCATGCATAACCATGCCCGGCCCTGTTTTATTTTTGATTCATCTATTTTTTTAACATTTAAAAACATTTTATTATTTTTATTTTATGTATATGCGTGTATTGTCTGCCTGTAGATAAGTGTACCTGTGTTGTGCAATGCCCACGGAGGACAAAAGAGGCTGTTGGATCCCCTGGAACTGGAGTTACCAATGGTTGTCATCTGCCATGTGGGTGCTGGGAATCAAACCTGGGTCTTCTGCAAGAGCAGCCAGTGTTCTTAACCACTGAACCATCTCTCCAGCTTCATCTTCACATTTGTATTTTGAAATTCACCTTCTTCCTCCTTCCTCTACCCAACTGTCAAGCCAGGGAACCAGCACATGTCTGTGACGTGGACCAGAACAAGGGACTGATGTGAAAAAGTCCAGGATCCTCTATTATAAGATAAACCATTCACTACAGTGGCTCTGACACATACTGCACCTTATTATCACCTGCTGAGCTGCAAAAATGGATAGATTTCTGAACCATATCTCCAGCATTGGGGTTTCAGTTACAGAAGGGTCCAGGTATGGGTATAAAAAATACCCTGGATGGTCTACATGCAGCCAGTGTGAGACCCATGCCCATCTCTGTAGCTGATAGTGCTCAAGGATAACCTGCATGCTAAAGGTGATTACTTAGCACATCAGCCACCTGTAGTGATTACTTAGCACGCCAGTCACCTGTACTAGGCACCAGGGATGTCAACTCATAAAGGAGATTATTCAGACCTCCGGATTCTGTCAGCAAAGCGGGACTGTCAGGTGTGTTGTGTCATTACCCATCCATGGAAACTATCCTTGCTCTCTGGTGAATCTGATGCACTTTTAGTCTTTCCCAACTTCTCCATCTCCAGCCCCATCCCAGTCCTTCACCCTCTGCCGAAAGCACTGTTCCCTGATGGACAGAGGAGACTCTTCCATCTCTTCAAGCCCTCATGTAGGTATGGAGTTAGGAAGGAAGACAGAAGAGAGAGCCGGGACAGAGCTGAAAGACTTGGAAGGAGCCTCAAGGATGATGGGATGGTGGGGTGGCGATGGTGCAGTCACCAGAGCTGGGGAGAGGAGCCTCAAAGAGGCTGTGGCATGTTCTGTTTGGGAAGTGCAGAGAACCAGAGAAACTGCGTCCCTTTTCCTTGCTAGCTCGACCACAGAGCCCAGGTCTCGCACAGAGCTTTCCATACTGCGAATGTCGGGTCTTGAAATGTGTGGCTTCTGTGACCCACCTGTCCTGCTACCATGATGCAATACAGTCTGTTCCCTCTTCCCGTCAAGTTCTTATCCCATGATTCCATACATAATTTCTCAAAATTGAGATACCAAGATTCCACCGTCTTTTGGATGGCAATAGCGATGTGAGCAATTGCTAAGGTTAAAAAAGGACTAACACCCCTCAAACAGGAAGCATCTGACAGGGAGTCACTCACTTCACACTGTCACTCAGGCCAATGATTCTTCACATAAAGTGATGCTGCGTTTTACCGCAGTTATTACTAGTGTCAGTGAAAGGAAGTGTGAATTATAAATACACATTTTCTTTTTCTTTTCTTTATTTTGAGACAAGGTCTCCTTGTAGCCTCTGCTGACCTGGAACTTGCTATATAGACCAGGCTGGCCTCAGTCTTACAGAGGCCCAACTGCCTCTGACTCCTGAGTCCTGGGATTAAAGGCATGTGCCACCGTGCCTGGCCAAAATATATCTTTCCTTATAGTTCAACTTCCATCCATGAATTCCCATGACTGTTCTTAGAAGTGTGTTCTATAAGTTACTTTTCTACTTACTGTGGCTAAATAGCAGACTTATGATATTGCTTATGTAGGAGAGCTTACTTAGGCTCATGGCTCAAGGGACAGTCTATCAGGGTGGAGAAGGCATGGCCTGGGGCTCAGCCTGTGACAGCTGCACCTTGAGGCAGCTTCTTGTGCTGGAAGCAGGGACAGGATAAAACACTCAAGCTGCCCATCTCCTCCACAAATGTCCCATCTCTAAAACAGCACCATCAACTGGGGACCAAGGCACATGAGCCTGTGACCACAGCAGGAGTCAGAGCTATAGTCCCTGGTAAACCAGTTGGCCAATCCTGGTACTTTTTGAATTAGCTCCAGGTGAGTGGCATGGGGGGGCGGTTACTTGTCACGGATTGCAGATTGTCTTTCAATAGCTCCTCAGATGGGCTCGCAGGAGACCATTCAGATGCCTTTAAATGTTACTAGAACACCCTGGCCTGTGACATTTTTCGACCACACTGTCACAAACTAAAATCCTGCAAAAAAACTTTCTTGGGAAGATTAATAGGAAAACAGGTTTGCGTGTGTGTGAAGTTCACGGGTGCGCACGCCAGCGCGCTGGAGTGAAGCGGACTTACCCGCTATGCTGAGGAGCGAGAGGAGCAGGAGCGAGGTCAGGCTGAGGTGCAGGCTCCCCGCCGAGTTGCAATCCACTTTGGAGTTCTTGCAGGAGCACACCTGCACCCTGAGGTCTGTGACGTTCGTCATGGGCGGTTTCCCTGAATCTGTCACCATGATGGGCAGGTTGTAGTTGGCTTTGTTCAGATTCTGAAGAAGGCTCACCAGGGCGTGGGTGTCTGGAAGACAGGAAGACCTCGTGAGAGAGGAGGAGCCATCTGTTGGAACAGTAAGGCTGTGGCCGCCACGCTCACAGTCATCATGGCGTGCACCTTAACCCTCAGTCATGGGTGTGTCTGAAAATCCACTGACATCAAGTACAACACAAGTTCCTTGGTGGCAGTAGCCACATTTACAAGCCCAGTGGCCACAGATGGCTGGTGCCTCTTACATGGGATGGTCCAGGGATGGTGCCCCATCAGAACAGACTCTGTGGTTTGGTGCTCTGGGTATGTGTGTGCATGTGTGTATGTGGGTGTACCTGTGTACATGTGTATATGTATGTATATAAATGTGTGTATATGTGTGTGCATGGCTGTGCATATGTGTGTACATGTATATGTGTGTATATATGTGTACATGTATATGTGTATACATATGTGTGTATGCGTATATGTGTAGGTATACATGCATGCATATATGTTCATGTATGTGTGTGTGTATGTGTGGGCATGTATGTAGGCCCCAGGTCAACCTCAAGGGTCTTTAGCTATTTTTCACCTTGGTGTTTAAAAAAATTTTTTATTTTTTAATACTTTATTTATTATTATTTAATATTTTATTTATTATTTTTATTTTATGTGTATGAGTGTTATGCCTGCATGTATGTAAGTGAACCCGTGTTGTACAATGCCTGCGGAGGACAGAAGAGGTTGTTGGATCCCCTGGAAATGGAGCTACAGACATGTGAGTGCTGGGAATTGAACCTGGGAATTGAACCTGGGTTTCCTGCATGTATGTAAGTGTACCCGTGTTGTGCAATGCCCTTGGAGGTCACAAGGCATTGAATCCCCTGGAATGGGAGTTATAGATGGTTGTTAGCTGCCATGTGGGTGCTGGGAATTGAACCCAGGCCCACTGCAAGAGTAATCAGTACTCTTAACTGCTGAGCCATCTCTCTAACCCTTATTTATTTATTTATTTATTTTTATTTTATGTGCATGTGTTTTGCCTACATGTATGTAAGTGCACCATATGCATGTAATACCCATGGAGGTTAGAAGAGGGCATCAGATCCCCTGGAACTCGTTGTTACCTACCATGTGGGTGTTCAGAACTGAACTCTGCAAGATTAGCTAGTGCTCTTGACCACTGAGCCGTCTCTCCAGCCCCTCTACCCTGCTTTTTGATACAGGGTCTCTTCACTGACCCTGAAGCTTACAGATTAGGACAGGCTGCCTGGCTGGGGATCCCCTGGGATCCTCCTATATCAGTCTTCCCAGGGCTGGGATTGCAAGTATATGTCACAATGCCTGGTTTTTGACGGGTCCTAGTTCTAATCAAACCCAGGGCCTCATGCTTTACAGCAGGTGTTTACCAGTGAGCCGTCTTCCCAGGCTAGCATTTAGGGCTTCTAGGAACAAGTTCAACAGGACTTGCTATTGTGGAAATGACTACCTACGCCTCCCCATGCATTTGTTTTACTTTTGGGCCATCGTAACAAAGATCACCATTTATTAATTGATTGAGACTGGGTTTCCCAACATACCCCAGGCAGGCCTCAAACTTGTGGCCCTCCTCCCTCAGCCTCCCAAAGTGCTAGGACACCTAACAAGATCTTCTTCAACATCTAAAAACTGGTGGGAAAATCCAAGCACTCCCAACCTGTGCAGGAATCCCACAGGCAGAAATGTCTCTACAGCCCCCGGCTTGTCAGTCCTTGACCACAGCCCCACATTTGGGTGAGAATCCTCAACCTGGAAATGGGGTCTTCATGCTCCCTCTGTTCCCCAAGCCCAGTGTAGTGTGTGTGTGTGTGTGTGTGTGTGTGTGTGTGTGTGTGTGCGTGCATGTGTGTGTGTGTGTGTGTGCGTGGGTGTGTGTGTGTGCGTGTTGGGGGTTGTCTATCAGCATCCTGGCCACTGGGCTGCACTCAGGAACGGCTCTACCTGCCTGGCCTTCAACTTCAGTTTCTTCTTCTTTTAGGCACTAAGACAATGATTCAGAAAAAAATTTGGTAAAAATATTCAGAATAAAAACTCTGAAGATTCAGAAAAATCATTTTGGAGTTACCAGAAAATTTAGAAGGCATTCATTTGTCAAATAAACTAAGAGAAAACAAGAGTTGGGTAGTCCAAAAGCAAACATGGAGGAAACTCCTCCCTCAACTAGAGACCTGAGCCGTCGTCACCTGTGGAGTGGCAGACTAACCCAAGGGACACTTTTCTATGACCCTTAAGTTGAGGAGTGCCTTCTTTTTTGAGACAGAGTCTCATGTAGTCCAGGCTGGCCTCAAACTTGCTATGTAGTCAAGGATGACCTTGAACTTCTGATCTTCTGCCTCTGTCTCCTGAGTGCCGGGATTGCAGGTGTGCACCACCACACCTTGTTTCATGTATTGCTGGGGATGGAATCCAGGGCTCTGTGCATGCTAGGCAAGCACTCTAGCAACCGAGTCACGTCCCAGCTCCAGGAGAGGCGTGAGCCTTGAGTGAGGGGATTCCATTTGGAAAGAACTGGGGTTGATTATTCAAATCAGTCCCAGCTTTGGAGAGCAGCAAATGAAACCCAGACCCCTTGAACAGCAGAAGGTCTGTTTTAATTAAAAATATCAGCCTAACAGAAAGCATTCTCTAAAAAGCAATAAAGTAGACAGTCCAAGAGAGTCAATGATATGAGAGGAAAGCTAATAAAGTAAGACAGGAGGCTGGGCGCAACCACAACCCGAGACTTTCTTAAACAGAAATCTATGCAGAGACGTACAATGCATTCTCACCCCCACACCCGATTCTATCACTGGTGTAAAGAGCGAACCCTGGGGGCATCTTTCACAGAAGTTCAATGTAGAAAACAAGGTATTCAGTTCCCAGCAGGGAGGAAAGTGGGTGGGACACCAGGAATAAAGGGTACTTTGTAATTAGGTAGGTGATCCATGTTGGGTCATGTTTTCCATTTTACCCACCCACATAGAAAGACTGAGAGAGAGCTATCTCTTGTGAGATTCATCAAGCGAGAGGGGCACATGGGAAGGATATCAAAGTCAGGAGGAAAGCCACAACCACCATCAAGGTTGGGTCAATTAGGAGGAGGCCTGCAGCATGCCGTGGAGGACTGGAGGGCTTCGCACAACTTCACACGGCACTGTGCACTGTGCTGGTCTCTGTTGGTCATCTGTGGGGAGGTAGACTGGAGACCATCTTGCAAAGTGCTGGTGAGCAGCAGGGTGAACACAGTTCCCATCTCTGAGATGGAGACAGCTGAGCCAGGAGAGGCACGGGAGAATCAGGAAGCTCTCGCTTGCCCAGGCTGCGTGATGCTCTGGACACACTCTATGCAAGCCAGGTGCAAAGAATGTGCAGGAGCCAAATGTGCGGTGGCCCATGCCTATGATCCCCACAGCCTGGGAGACTGAGGCAGAAGGAGAGTCAAAAGTTCAAGGCCAGCTAGGGTTGCACAGTGAGATTGAGGTTAACCTGGACTACATAAATTCTTTCACTTTTTTTTTTTTTTGGTCTTTTTGAGACAGGGTCTCGCTGTAGCCCCAGCTATCTGGAACTCACTATGTAGACCAGGCTGGCCTTGAACTCACAGAGATCTGCCTGCCTCTGCCTCCCGAGTGCTGGGATTAAAGGCGTGCGCCACCACACCCGGCTATTTTTAAAATTTTATTTTTATTTGTGTGTGTGTGTGTGTGTGTGTGTGTGTGTGTGTGTGCAGGTGCCTGTGCAGGCCAGAAGAGTGTCAGATCTTCTGACGCTGGAGTTACAGGCAGTTGTGAGCTGCCTAACATGGGTGCTGGGAACAGAACCCGGGTCCTCTGCAAGAGCAGGAAGTGATCTTAACCGCTGAGCATCTCTCCAGCACTGCAAAGACTCCTTCCTCCAAAACAAACAGCAAGTAAACAAACAAAGCACCGTGGAACTTCAATAGAAGAGAAAGGAAAGAGGAAAAACGAAGAACTGTTAGCTAAGTGGGCGCTCTTATGGAATGTGGGGACCAGAGAGGAGCCCAGGGGAGGCTCACCGCAGTTACCGTAGAGAGAGCACACGACACAGGGTGGAGAACAGGCAGAGGAGGGACAGAACAGAGGACAGAGCAGCGCGCCTTTGGGAGAAGCTGATGGTCAGCATCTCCACATCTGAGCAGGACCAAGTGTCCGTGAGGAAAGGGAAAGGAAGTTCAAAGCCACAAGAATCGGGGTCGGATGTCTCCAGCGACACTTACTGTTGATCTTGGAGATCTTCCAGACTTTGTCAGGGACGGTTTGTTTGTGAATTTCAAACTTGAAAGGGTCTGTATTGGGGTAAAGGTCCTTGTCCGAAGCGCCCAAAATGACCACGCTGAGGTTTTTGGCATCGTCGCAGACCTCGGCCACGGTGGGGTAGATGAAGGGAGCATTATCGTTCACGTCTTCTAGGGTTATCAGCAAAGTCCCGGTGCCCGTGGCGGGAGGGTTGCCTGTGGGAAAGCCCAGGACGTTAGTAAACCCCCATTTCAATGGGAGAGTCATTTACTACAGCGCTTTCGGCAATGAATGTCTACTGCACCGTGTATTTGTTAACAGTTTCAATCTGGATTGTGTGTCCTGCCTTTGAACCTGTGATCCTCCTCCTGCCTCGGCTTCCTGAACGCTGGGATCATAGGTACGTGAAGCCATCACCCAGGCTAGGCACGGGCTTTACCATCAAGCCGTACCTCCGGCCCTTGGGTTTTTGAGCTACGGTCTTGCTGTGTAGCCTAGTCTGACTTTCAAGTCCTTCTGCTTCAGCTCCTGCAGTGCTGGGGAGATGGTCATGTACCACCAAACCTGGCTCCCAATTTTCACTTAGAAATGTTAGAGCCACATCTGTAGGCCACAAGTGGTAAGTGCACATACCTCCCCTGATGCATCCCATAAATTATAGTACTGGAGGATGGTGGTAGGATGTAACTATTCTAAAAACATTTCTATCTATCCATATCTGTCTGTCTGTCTGTCTGTGCAGGTCAGAGGACAACTTCCAAACGTCAGTTCTCTCCTTCTACCGTGTGGATCCCAGGACTCCAACTCAGGTCATCAGACTTAGCGGCAAGTGCCTTTACCTGCTGAACCACCTCACCTGCCCTACCATGGGAGGTTTCGAAGGAAGGTTGTGGAATACTCTGATCCGACTCTTTTTTAGAAAGCGCACAGCATATGGGTATATGTGCAGATGTTGGCAGGGGGTCTGAAATGAATTAAGTGGGGCATGATATGGGCAGTTTGTAGAGGAGGTGCCATGTCGTGGTGACTAGGGGCTCCGGTGAGGCCTTCAGAGGACCAGCAGAGGCTGGTGAGGGACAACAGGTCCAACTCTGTGCATCATGATGGCTGGACAAACAACACGCTGTGCAGAGGCGCAGGGTTGGGAGAAACGGTTGAGCTGAGTTAGAAGTGGGGGATCATCCATGGTTGGTCGCTTTGAAACCTTTCTGGAATATTAGGCCACCCCACACGAGAGTGCAGAATGCTAGAGGGTAGAGCTCTAGGGAACCCTGAATTTACCAGACGGAAGGTGGCTCTGGAGAAAACACAGGGGAGATGAACTGCAAGAGTAGGAAATGATCTGAGAGACTGAGGCAGGAGGGTCACTGTGAGTTCAAGGCCAGCCTGGGCTACAGAGTGAGAGGCTACTTCAAACGCTCCTTCTTAAACAAAAAATAAATAAAAAAGAGGAAGGGGGTTTTGCAAGGAGAAGGTTCTGGGCATGTTGTGTCCTGTTTTGTTTTGTTTTCCATTAAAGGGGAAGAAGTCAGCTTGGAGGGAGCTGAACACGGCGTGATGATCAATGCGAATGCTCTTTCCTGGGTCTGTTGGCAATTTAAATGTCCCATCACCTAAGGATGGGTTCAGAGTAAACATTCAAATAAATGCCCACCAAAATAGGAACGTGGCGATAAATCGCCAGAACGACTCTTCCTAATGGGGCCTGTCATCAACTTGTTGGCGTGAGAGCTCCAAAGAAATGCGCAATTACTTCGAAGCTGGTTTCTCACTGTCAGCTTTAGTCTTTTGGCTAAACTTCTTTATTGAAAAATTATTTTTCTCTTTTTATCGAACTAATTGAATATCTCAGAAGAATCCATTATATGTATATATTTTCCTGCTCCGAATATATGATGAAGTGAAGTCATTTGGCAGAATGGATGAGAAGACATTATGAGTGTTTGAAATACGGCCAGAAGAATCGGCCTCTTGTGAACTTAATTGTACGACTGTCTCCAGTTCCCCATGTGCTACTCTCCATCCAGCTGGTGAAGTCCTTTTAGAAAGAGCTCGTTTCTTTGGGTGAGAGGCGAAAACTGGGGGAGGTAAAATCCACTTAGCAAGTCTTCCCCTGCCTCTCTGATTTGTTATTTTAAATTTATTGTAGTTTGATTATTATTATTATTATTGCTATTATTACTGTATATGTGTGTGTGTGTGTGTGTGTGTGTGTGTGTGTGTGTGACTTGGGCACGTGTGTACCATGGCACATGTGTGGAGGTCAGAGGACGTTTGAGAGTTGGTTCTTTCTGCTGTGGGTTCTGGGAATTGAGTTCAGTCACGAGGCTTGGATGAGAAACACCTTTAGCTCCTCAGCTGTCTCAGCACTCGCTTTCCTAGTTTATATGTCCAGGAGGGAAAGGTGTTACATCCAAAGGTAAGATGTATTCAAAACTTAATGCCCTGCCCAAGTCTGTTTGGTTCCAGAAATATCTGAAAATATTAGGACTTTTCGGTATTCTCTAGAGATTTAGCAAAAATCCCCCAGTTCTTCTCTTTCTCATCCACAGCCCCCATTCCCACAGGACAGCTCTAGGATAGAGCTAAGAACTCAAGCTTGGTTAGGACCAGGCCTCTCCTTCATGGATTTTTCCATTCCATGAGGGAGAAGTCTCAGCCTGGGCTATCCACTCAGGATACATGTACTACAGGCAAAGATGGGAGCCAGCCTCCAGGAGACGTGTGTGGGAGACCAGCAGGGGGCCAGTCACCCAGGAGGTGTATGGTAGACCAAGCAAGGAGCCAATCTCCCAGGATACATATATGATTGACCATCATGTGTGCAGATCCCTTAGAGGAAGCCCACAACCATGTTCTCAAGGAAAGATCTGATAAAGTTCCAGTCCTAAATGAAGGGAAGGGCTCTCTCTGACTGGGTTTGTGGTGGGGGTGGGGGGTGTAGTAAAATGGGGGGGTGAGGTGTGGGGTGGGGGGGGCGGAAGTCACAGGCATGTGTAACTTTGCCTAGCTGTACCCTTTACTTTCTAAGTCAGGCCATTACTACGTAGCTGTATTTTTACAGGATATCATTTCTGCTATGAAATCAAGCAAGAAGCTATGCGTCATGATTTGGAAGAAACAAGACAAGAGGCCTTGTCTTCCAGTGGGAATCTGCAGGAGGCAAAGGGATGAGGGAGGAAAGAGAGGAGGAAGCTTGGGAGCTGGACCTTGTTAGGGGATGGATCTCTGTAGAGAACTCTGTGAACCGAGTATGTGGCCCAGAAGCACCCAATCTCAGCTAGTTTTCAAGGCCTCATGACCCCATGTTGGAGCCTGGGGTGTAGCTACCAGGAGCATTGCTGGGCACACATGTTCACTTGGGGTCTGAGGAAGTCTAGGAGAACCTTACCACCTCCTAACCTTCTAAGCATGGGGTAACCTAGACGAGATGGCCTTAGCTGCCCTGCCTTGACCCCCAGTGTCTCCTTCCTTCCTCTGGCCAATGCCTCTTGACTTCACCCTTCTCCCCGCCCCCCCAAACCGAAGCTATTCACGAGCCAATTTACTAACATGGGCATCTCTTTAAGGTTCACAAATAAGTATAACAGCTATAAAGAACTCCCTACATCCCCCCCAGAGGTGAACATTATGATGGAAGGTCTCACGAATCTCTCTCCTCCCACTCTGGACTTCTTGTTTGAAAGACCTGCTTTTGTCTACAGGGCTGGTGGTGTGGCTATCCCAGCATGCAACACTGTGACTGGGCTACAAAGAGACATTTTGAACTTTCTCCCTAATACAGACACATCAAATCCCATTTCCAAGTGAGACATGGAAGAGTCTGAGCCCCCTTCTCAAATATTTAATTAATTAATGTGTGTGTGTGTGTGTGTGTGTGTGTGTGTGTGTGTGAGAGAGAGAGAGAGAGAGAGAGAGAGAGAGAGTATAATTTTTGGGGGTTCTCCTTCTACTATGTAGGTTCTGGGTATCGAACTCAGGATGTCAGGCTTGGTGGCACGTGTCCTTAGCCCTGGAGCCATCCCATAGCTTCCTTCCTTTCCTTTCTCTTCCTTCGTTCCTTCATTTCTTGGTCCCTCCCTCCCTCCCTCCCTCCCTTCCTCCCTCCCTCCCTCTTTCCCTTCCTCTCACCCATCTTTCTCTCCCCCTAGAAGGCACAGGCTGGCTTTGAACTCACCATGTGGCAAAACTGCCCTTGAAGTATAGATCCTACTATCGCTACCTCCCAAGAGTGGAGATTACAGGAGTGTGTCACGATGCCCAGCAACTCTATTTTTTTTTTTTTTTTTTTTTTTGTACTGAGGATGTGCTAGGCAAATATTCTACCACTGAGTTACATCCTGACCTCTGTTTTTTTTTTTTTAATATCAATATTGGGGCTGGAGAGATGACTCAGTGGTTAGGAGCACTTGTTACTCTTGCAGAGGACCCAGGTTCAGTTCTTAGCACCCACATAGTGGCAAACAACCATCCATAACTTCAGTTACAGGGCATCTGATGCCCTCTTTTGACTTCTGAGGGCATTGCAAGGCAGGGGTGTGCCTACCTACATGCAAGTAATACACTCAGGGACACCCTGTCTCAAAAAGACCAAAGGTTGAGTTCTTAGCACCCACATAGTGGCAAACAACCATCCATAACTTCAGTTACAGGGCATCTGATGCCCTCTTTTGACTTCTGAGGGCATTGCAAGGCAGGGGTGTGCCTACCTACATGCAAGTAATACACTCAGGGACACCCTGTCTCAAAAAGACCAAAAAAAAAAAAA